TCACTGCAACCTCCACCTCCCGTGTTCAAGCGATTCTCCTGCCTCAGCCTCCCAGGTGGCTGGGACTACAGGTGCATGCCACCACGCCCAGCTAATTTTTTTGTATTTTTAGTGCAGACGGGGTTTCACTGTGTTAGCCAGGATGGTCTCAATCTCCTGACCTCGTGATCTGCCCACCTCGGCCTTCCAAAGTGCTGGGATTACAGGAGTGAGCCACCGCGCCTGGCCGCCACCAGCCTTCTTTAAGTTGTTCACGCTCTGTGTTCCTCCAACCAAAGTCCCCAGCAAGGCGTACCTGGAGTAACACAGCCATCGCAGTAGGCTCTCCCCTCCAGCCTGCCTGACCCGGGAGGCCTAGTTCTTCCTATTGGGCCACGCTGTTCCCTGATAATTGCCACCACCATGCATAGTAGTCCACATCAAGGCCAGGAAAGGGGGCTTCTGGTTGGCAGAGGTCGTGTTGCATTGGGTAGCTCAGGAAGAAGCTCCTGGAAACAGTATTTGATCAGAGCCTTGAGGGCTGGGGAAGACCTGGCAGGAGGATACAGGACACAGCAGCAACCCTCACAGAGGTGGGAGGGCAGAGGTGCGTCTGAGGGACAGCGGGAAGCTTCTTGGATGGAAACGAAGTGTGGAGGAGGCGAGTGACATTGGCGCCGCAGGGAATGCTGGGATGGGGTTTGGCGCCGCAGGGAATGCTGGGATGGGGTCGGGTAGACCTCAGATTCGGATCAGTGGAATTGAGCTGACTCAGGAAGGAATGAGGGAGCCATTGAAGAGTTTTGAGCAGGAGGGCAACATACCTAGTAGGGAAGAACTGTAGGGCAGGGACTGGGAGATGGAGAAAAAGTGGGGATGCGATGGAGGAACTCTCTCTCAGTAGCCAGCACCAAGGACTTCACCAGGTTATTTATTATTATTATTATTAATTTTTGAGACAGAGTCTCACTCTTGTCAACCAGGCTGGAATGCAATGGCATGATCTCGGCTCACTGCAACTTCCACCTCCGTGGTTCAAGTGATTCTCCTGCCTCAGCCTCCC